CTCACGAGGAATAACGGGGCTGCCGACAAAGGGTTTTGATGTCGGCAGGGGAGCGTCCAGACTAGCGCGCTGAGCCGACAAACAGCTGATCAGCTGTTTGTGGGCTCAGTGCGGCAGCCATGTAAATTTAAATGAAGCGGCGATTATTTAAATCGCACCTTCATTTCCCTTTGCCTACAACCCTAATCTACATGGCTCCGTCGATGGAGCCATGTAGTCTAGACACAGCCTAGAAGGGTGCAGGGTGCAGTGCTTTTCCGGGACAGAGAGTTTGGCAGTTCCAGAATTCTTACCGGTTCTAGAAGTGTTACCAGTTTAATTAGTGCTGTCTCCCTTTTTATTGAGAATAGGGACTAGCACTGGAACTGGTAATCCCTCAAAAACTGGTGTGACTGTTGAGTGTGCAAGCCAAGGAAAGGTGAATTCTGCTTTCCTAAGATAACTTTGGGCATGCTAGAGTTCACTTCATTGCCTTTCTCCAATGCCTAAAAGAAACCCAACTCCTACAGAAACTATCTGGAGACCGAGAGTTCAGTCTCTAAGGGTATGTCTACACTACAGAGTTTTTTTCAGAAAAACAACCGTTTTTTCTGAAAAAACTTCAATTATGTCCATACTGCAATCATGTTCTTTCGAAAGAAAATTGAAAGACCAGAGGGGATTTTCCAACATCGGTACACCTTTTTCTATGAGGAAGAAGCCTTTTTCCAAAAGAGCTCTTTCAGAAAAAGGTGTGTGTGGTTGGGTTAGAGGGAGTTCTTTTGCAAGAAGAGGAAAGAGGAAAAAGCACAGGTTCCCTGGAGGACATTCTGCCCATAGGAACCACAGCTTACATGTGAGAAAGCATCCATTCAGTTTGGATGCTATCTGTTGAAAAACCAGATCGCTTTTTTGATGCGCTTTTGCAATGTGGACGCTTTCTTTCGGAAGAAGATCTCTTCCAGAAAAGCTTCTTCTGAGAGAAGCCAGCAGTCTAGACATAGCCTGAGGGAACATCTACACAGCAGTGTTATTTTGGAATAACTGAAATAACATAGTTCGGGACTACACTACAAATAAGTTATTTTGACATAATGTCAGAATAATGTCAAGCTGGAGGATTTCTTACTCCGACTCCATAACCCTCATTTTATGAGGAATAAGGGAAGTTGGAGGAAGAGTGCTCTTTCTTGGACTTCCTGCTGTGTAGATGGGGCCAAAAGCCAAAATAAGCTATTTTGACTTCATCTGCACAATTGACATAGTTCAAGTCGCGTAGCTTATTTCAGCTTTAGCCCTACTGTGTAGACATGCCCTAAGGATTTTCAGCAACTTAGTTTTCCTGTAGCAACATTCCCTTTCCCCACTCACCCACCTGCAGGTTTGCTAACATCCAGAACAAACATTTTAAAGGTAGCAGTCAGGGAATCGTAGCAACATTGCCTTCCCCCACTCACCCACCTGCATGTTTGCTAACATCCAGAACAAACATTTTAAAGGGAATTCCTTGGGGACAGATAAGACAGTCTTGAGCCCTTTATGCACATTTGACAAGGGAAGGCCAGTGAAATTATAGTAAACATATGAGCCCATTGTATTATTTTCACAGGCAGTCATGCTAGCGGGCTCTTTTGGCTTATGGAGCTGGTGAGGTGTTAGGTACCAAAAAATAAGAGTGTATTTTTCTTCTCTAAAGTATCTTTCATCTCAGAAGATCTGAAAGTTCTTTACAATCACAGAGATACAGCGGTGCTAAAATGCAGCCTCATCTAGGATAAGAGTAGCCAGCTTGCACACAGCTCTATGCAAATCTGTGGGAAGAGGGGAAATTTTGGCTAAGAACCTATTGTAGCCATTAAATGTGTTTGTTTAAACAGGTGTTAGCCTTTCACAGGTCAACTTTATGCTTAACTGTGGGGTCACTGGAGCTCGCTGGGTTTTTTAATCAGAATATTTGATATTAAGCACTCAATCATAGATAAAGTACTTGGCTTTTTGTTTGGTCTTTTTTTTTTCTGAATCTAAGATCTCTTCAGTAAATGGCAAGAAAGAGCCTATGGTGGATACAGGCTGGGGTAGAGATCCCAGAAGTGAGCACATCTCCTAAGGCTGTGTATAATCAGGCCTGGTTTTGGTATCTGATCAGCTTTGCCATAACAGACTTGGCTACTGGCATTCTTCCCCCATCAGGCTCTGAGGTGGAGAAAAGTATATGATGCAAACATAGTACATAGCATTACTTCTTGCCTATGTGCACCAGGTGAAGGTGGGTATCAGGAGATGGTGTCTAGCCAACAATCATTAATTTTTACCACTACTCTACAGATGCACTGGGGGAATGTGGTAATAAATTAGTGTTTCCGGTCTTTGTGTTATGAGCCTGAGTTTTAATTCAGGTGAATTTCACCTTCTTGCTGACAGACCGCAACCAAGCCATCAGTTTCTTGGTACTCTAGGGCTACGTCTACACTGTAGCCTTCTTCCGCAAAAGTTTATGCAAATGAAGTATGGAGTGGAATATCGCTGCGCTTCATTTGCGCAAAAACCTCCTCTTGTGCAAGAGCCATTCTTCCTGAAAAAATGAGGAAGAACGGCTCTTGCGCAAGAGTGGGGTTTTGCGCAAAAAGGAGACGTCTACGCAGCTCCTTTTTGCGCAAAAGCCTCTTGCACAAAAGCGGCTGTTAATTAATTATGCAAATGAAATGTGGCGATATTCCACTCCACACTTCATTTGCATAAGCTTTTGCGGAAGAAGGCAACGATGTAGATGTAGCCTAGCTTTGTTGTGTCTCTGCCCTGTTTTCCAGAGAATTTCTTAATTTGGCAGTGCAATATGAGCCCAATTGAACATTTGAGAGACTCAGTGAAGTCACTGGGAGCTGTGTGCACAAACCCTGGGCAGAATCTGGCCTGTGAATCCTAACAGTTCCGTGTAGTTAATGTTCACACTACTTTTCTGCTCCTTTTGTGTTCCACAGAGAGAGTCTGAACTATGAGAGAAGCAATCTCTGCTGTTGGTTTTCAATGTCTGATTTTCTTCTGATTGCACAGGGCAAGAAGGGTGAACCTGGCTTCCCAGGACTCGATGGCTTGCCTGGACCTCGGGTATGTGACATTTCTACTTCTTCCTTATAACACAAAGGCAATAATATCAGAAGCGACAGAGTTTCAGTAAAAGGTGACACAAGTATATGAATAAGATGTGTTCAAAGAAGCTTTCAGGGGGAGGAGGATGCGCGATAAAGAAGATAGAGAGTGAGGGTGATTCCTGCTCTTGGGTTTAAGGCTACTGGGCCAGAGCTTTGCAGCTCCACGAGTGGTCAGTGGGTTTGCCTGAGGAGTAAATTAAGGCAGAATTTCACCTATTGGGTGTCATATACCCTGCTGGGGAGCCACATTAACGCTTGTTGCATCCAACTTTCCTTCCTTTCCAGCTGCTGTTGTAAGCAAAGCTGGATGAGCTAAGGGGAAGGGGGCAGTGATTCACAGCTATCCCAACACAGTGACACCATCTGGCAACAGAAAAAGGCTTGGGGAACTTGTCACAGCACGGGGAACTCCTTCAAGGGGAGATGGGGACGACTCCACCTCAGCCCTAATGAATTAGGTGCTTCCCAGCTTGAGGAGATAGGACTAAGGCAGTCAGCTGACGCCTTAAAGCAGTGTTCCTCAAGCTTTAGGAAAGCCGCTAGCAGGCCTGTGCTGCTTTGTTTACCTAAAGAGTCCATCGCCATGGAGCCTGGCGGCTCCCATTGGCTGTGGTTTGTCATGTCTAGGCAAGGGGAGCCAGGAGAAGCGGAGGCCTGGCCCACACCACTTCCCACGGCTTCCTTTGGCTGGGAATTGCAAACTGAGGCCAATGGGAGCAGTAAGGCTCTGTGGTTATGGACTCTTTAGATAAGCAAAGTGATGCAGGTCTACTGGCAGCTTTCCCAAAGCAGGCCCATGGCCCACTTTGAGAAACCCTGTCTTAAAAGGACATTTGGGCCTTATATAAATGCTGAGAGAGATCAGTCTGGGGGAAGAATTGCAGGGAGCTGGTGGGCTGCCTCCTTTGGGGGGGGGGAGGTCCTGAATCAGGCTCTACAGCAAAACAGTACTCTAGGGAAACCAGCCAATGTTTGGAGTGCTCATCACAGAGGTCCAGGGCTAGCTAAAGTCACCCAAGCTGTGTATGAGTTTTAGTGATGGATTTCATTTGGGGACTTTGAGGATTGTTTTCAGTGATTTATGCCATTAAACAGGCCCTGGCAGGGCAGCAAGAAAACCTGTGTGGAGCTTATTAAAGAGTCCGGAAGAAGGGGGAAACTGAGGCAGGGTACCACAGCCCTCCCAAAGGCCATGAGGGAGTTCTTAGGAGGTGGCTGCCCTCTGACAGGAATCCCTTCTCTTCTTGCCGTAAAGAAAGGGAGGATGGTCACAAAGCTTCTCCACCGTTTGCCCACACACCACGATTGAGTACCCTGGCAAGAATATAACAACCCATTAACCGTCGTCTTGATAATACACCCTACCTCATTCATATGAGTGAGGATTTTAGCTCTACCGTCAGTTAAACTTGGGACAGACACAGAAGAGCTTTGACTCTGCAGTGGCTGGTGATGTACACAGTGACCAGGGCATCGTGAGCTGTCGGTTGTTTTTGCTTTGCTGATACTTATTTTATTTCCCCTGGCAAGTAATGCTCTTGTTACTAGGAAACATCAGCACGAAATGGATTCTTTAGCAGATGTGCTGTGTTAAGGTGTTAAGATGACTGTGAAAGCCATGAGAGACAAAATCCGATGGTTTGCTATGTGGGTTCAGGTGAAGCCAATTATCTCCAATTTAGAATGCTGTCATTTAGATTCTGCTTTTTGCCATGTCTGTGCTTTTCAGGCTGTGTTTCATTCCGCAGCATCTGGTTTACCAGTTGTTCACCAGCTGCCTGGAATGGGAATACATTCACGTATTTTCAAATGCATTTTGATGGTTTCTTTGTAATGCTATAT